AATTGTTTTTTTTTTTTTTTTTTTTTTTGAAGAATGCGTGGTTAAAAAATAATAAATATTTTTCGATTTATGTGTCATATTATTTTATGAAAGAATGTGTGGTTGAAAATGTATTTTTGTGAAAATGGGGGACCAAACATAGGCTAAAATTATTCAAATCAATAGACTATTTGCCCGTGTCAAAATCTTGCAAATAGTATAACCTAACATTAATGCACAATTTTCATTTTTTCCTACTTTTCCTTCCCCCCTTTGACAGATTTATTACATTTTATCATTAAAAAAAATAAAAATAACAAAGAACTCCAAAAATTGGTGGGGCAAGTGACCCACCATGCTTTAGATCCGCCATTGACGAGCTGTCCACCGAAAACACTGCAAAAATTAAAGCCATAATTTATCAAAATTAAACACTCAATTTACTTGGTATATATGCGTACATAACCAAAAGAAAACTGATTGTGAACCTTTTAACGTAGTAGTAACAAAAGTCAGTCAAGATGAAGGTTTGAACAATTTCTGATAAAAGAGCCATTGGAGGCCACAGTCCATAACCCAATGCTACAAGAAGGCCACCACGACTGTCCAAAACCTGTAAAATGCATATGAACAATATTAACACTTGTCAATTTCAAAGTACAAAGATAGCTGTAGTTCAATATGTTCATGTTCATTAAGAAAACATGATCTGCATTAATACACAATAAATATTCAACATTTCTTGCCTCGTAGAATGGTTAACTATAGAAGTATTTAATGCTAGATTTCGAGGGCAACATCCATAATGAACGAAAAGCAAATCCTAACCATTCCCAAAAGCGTGGCACATGTTTTATTTTGTAATTTAAAACCACCTGTTAGAGGCATCCAAGCACGTTACTCTGGTGAACAAGTCACATAAAAACACAACCAGAATTGGGCTAGGGAAAAGGAAATTTTTAATTTTTAAGAAACAAACAAATTTCTGGTAAATGGAGCAAAGGGCCTACTGATTTATAATTGTTAACATGGTATTTTTGATGAAAAATCTTTTCCATGTCCCTGCTTGGTCATCTCAAAGAAAGCAAACTTCTGTGCATCTAACTTTACTGAAGTTCAAACGTATCGTAGTGGACAGCTCGAAACATTGAACTCTTGAAAATTAACGTCTAAGAACATGAAAACTTCCAACTAGAAAGTAGAAACTGCACATAATCAGCTGAATAATTTGTATAAAGAAGTGACCAACTGTAATTAATTATGGAAAAATTACAAAGACTCACTAGACCCACTCACAAGACTTCTGAGTTCAGCTTTGATGATCTTGAGAGATGGGTATACTTTTGTCACGCACACCAGGTCTAGCAATGGACCTAATCGTTCATAAATTGGGGACTTTTAATCTTTGTATACCAATATTACCTTAAGTTCGATAATTTGAAGAAATATTTAATGTTCAAATATAATCAGCCTATAAATTTTTTTGTAAAGATTGAAAGTGACTACTGATCATATACTGGTTTTAAAATATCTAGTATATATTTTATGGTTTGAAGATACGAAATTTGCAAAAGCAATTGAGGTGTCATTTGACATGTGATACATCATGATAACCGGTAATGGTGGCAGGACTAAACATAATTTTGTCCAAATTTTCTATATCAGCAAATTATGAAGTTAGGTAATCTTCTCTCCCTAATTAGCGCAGTGTTACTGTCTTAAAATTCAAAAAGTACCAGTCCCTTAAACCTTACTTTTGCATAAACTTGGTATAAATTGCATGCCAGACTATTTACAAGAAATGGCAACAACACCATGGACTCAAAATTAAAATTAAAAATAATTATAATTAATGTGTAGCACCATTGAGCCATTCACTATCATGTTAGAATCATGAGGGGGTTATTCAACGATGATAAGAAATTTAAGCAATTTCTGCAATAATACAAGTTGAAGAAGACTTTAGACAATTGTCCATGACAAAGTTTACGAGTCAAACCTGGAGAACCCAATGAGCACAACTCAAGAACCTTGCAACACCCAATGGAAATACATAATGAGCTGTAAATGGTTCAACAATCTGTCACCAAGAAATATAGAACATCAAGACATGCACTGCAGCTTTATTAAAAATAAAAAAATAAAAAATGTTCAGCATCAGCATGGTTTATGCACAATGAATTTCACCTTTGTATTTTGCATGACGCGCAGTTGAGGTAGCACAGAAACAGCTTCCAGGTAAACACAGAAAGCCCAGGCAATCCGATTTATGTTGTAATGTGATGTAGCTGGCTTGATTAGTAAAGCAAAAACAGCACAAGGAATCAACTGCAAAGATGCAGAAACAATAAGCCGTATTACAAAATCTGAAGGCAAAAAATGTGGGTGAAGATACCCATAAGCATAAACCACATCTCCATTAAAGTCCACGAAATACTAGGTATGTTTTGGAGGGAGTGATTTTCTCTTCATGCGGGGGCTCACTTCCGATATTATTTAAAATTCTTATGTTTCGACTCAATTTAGGTTTTATTTCCTTATTGTGATTCCTAATTAAGACTAGGCTGAACCCTTATATAAAGATGGGTAAATTTAATGACAACTTTAATTGTTGAATACAATGATTTCCTGTAGAATCCACCCCCCCCCCTACCCCCCAAAAAAAAAACCAATCTTTTTCTCTTCCCTTCTTCTCTCTCCTCTGTTCTCTTCATTACAATTCTTTTACAATAAAGGTATTTGATACGTGCTTACGTAGTCAATATCTTTCATCATGCACGTACAAGTGTAAAGCTGATAACTGGTGAAGCCAGAGTGATCTTGAGTTTGGTGATCAGGCCAAAAAGGAAAGTTGACAGAATTATGTAAAAAGGAACTATGCCAATAGTAGTAAAGGTTGGGGATTCAAAGATCTGATGTTAAAGGTAGAGGATGTATTTGCTACATATTATAGGGTTAAGACTAATTGTGCAAAAAATTTCACAAAGAATGGGGAAAACCTAAAAGTATGGCTGGCCGCTAGTAATCGAATCACTTAAAGGCGTTTTTACACTGAAAATCTAATATATAAAAAATCGCTTTATCAAAAAATCAAATTTTAAATAGCCTACGAGGCGCTTCCCTCACTCCCCATATCAAACCGTGTCCCAAAAAATATTTTGAAAATCAAGATATTAATTACGTAAAATCAAACCCAAATGGAAAAGAAAGAAGAAAAGATTGCATCAATGCTGTTGAACACTCACCACATGATATAATGCAAAATTGTCGTCATCCTCCATGTAACTTGACCTCAGTCTAAAACGAATCATATAAATAACCCATAAGGTTGTAGCCAGCGTAGCCAAGTCGAGCAACGTATGTATATCAAATTCCATTACAAAACTGCAATACAGTCTAACAGCCAAAAAGATGGCTGTTAGCTCCTGGGATCTGAGTGAAAGTCCTGCAATAAAAACCCAGAAAATTTCCATGGAAATAGAGTCACAAGTTGTGTTTGCTGTCACAATTTAATGTTTATGTATGTCAACGGAATTATTTTTCTGACTATAACCCAAAACTTAACCTACTATAATTTTTATTTTTCCAGAAATTATAAACTCAAAATCACATTCAGAATATCATTTCGTGAAAGCTGCAACTTAACATTAAGTTATTGCTCAAAGCCAAAACAACCAACTTATGCAGTGGTATAAACTTTGATAATTTAACCTTCGTTCGATATAACTAACCAACCATCTATAAAAGTGGACGAAGTCCTCTGATTTTTATTTATTTTTTAATCGTTCTTGTACAGTGAAAAAAAATAAAAAAAATAAAAATGAAGGCTTTTTACTTCTTTTAAGTGAAAAAATTGAATTTGAATCAGCACGAACCCTGTGAATGACTACAAATAGGAGTTTTCGCTTCTTCTCATTTTTTTTTGTTATCAACTTCCGCATCCTCTCCTTCATTCTATTTCATCGTGTCATAGGTTTAAAAAACAAAAGAAATACTGCACCACCACCATGCAGTTCCCATTTCCTAACCCGCTGTTAATCAGGCACGCGAGAAAGCTAATGCATATACACTTCAACTCTCCACTGTAAAACCTTAATAGATGTCCATATGAAAATAACAAAGAGAACCCACCCACATTACTCTCTCCCCAACAGAAAATTATGAAAAAAGCCTTCTTTCCATCAAATAAATAAATAAAATCCATCTAATTGGAATCAAGATCTTTGTCAATTCCTCAACGAAAGCTCCAATTTTTCTCATCCCCAAAATATTCACTCTGTCAACAAAATTTATCGGTAATAACAAAATATTGGGTGTACCTACCAGCACAGGTTCTTTCCATCTTGAGCTTGTAGATGAGAACCGATATTCCGATGGAGTGGACTGCCTCGGCGGCAATGAAGAGGTTGTCGTGATTGTGAACAATGGCACGTAGAAGCATCAGAGCCGCCATCACAGCGAGCACGGCCAGGAATGACTTCCCCTTCGGCGGCTGCCGCCGTACCCAATTCGATACCACTCGAATCGGATCCTTCATCCTTCGTTGATAGCATCTTGTACTGATATTCGCCTGTATATTTTCTCTGGAAAATTGAGAGAAATTTTAAGCTGAAGCTGAAAGGTACTTTTTGAGGAAGACGGTTGAAAATAAATAGACGTTCGCGTAACGGAGGAGA